TATCTATCTATCTATCTATCTATCTATCTATCTATCTATCTATCTTATCTATCTATCTATCTATCTATCTATCTATCTATCTATCTATCTATCTATCTATCTATCTATCTATCTATCTATCTATCTATCTATCTATCTATCTATCTATCTATCTATCTATCGATCTATCTATCTATCTATCTATCTATCTATCTATCTATCTATCTATCTATCTTATCTATCTATCTATCTATCTATCTATCTATCTATCATCTATCTATCTCCTATCTATCTATCTATCTATCTATCTATCTATCTATCTATCTATCTATCTATCTATCTATCTATCTATCTATCTATCTATCTATCTATCTATCTATCTATCTATCTAATCTATCTATCTATCTATCTTCTATCTATCTATCTATCTATCTATCTATCTATCTATCTATCTATCTATCTATCTATCTATCTATCTATCTATCTATCTATCTTCTATCTATCTATCTATCTATCTATCTATCTATCTATCTATCTATCTATCTATCTATCTATCTATCTATCTATCTATCTATCTATCTATCTATCTATCTATCTATCTATCTATCTATCTATCTATCTATCTATCTATCTATCTATCTATCTATCTATCTATCTATCTATCTATCTATCTATCTAGCTATCTATCTATCTATCTATCTTATCTATCTATCTATCTATCTATCTATCTATCTATCTATCTATCTATCTATCTATCTATCTATCTATCTATCTATCTATCTATCTATCTATCTATCTATCTATCTATCTATCTATCTATCTATCTATCTATCTATTCTATCTATCTATCTATCTATCTATCTATCTATCTATCTATCTATCTATCTATCTATCTATCTATCTATCTATCTATCTATCTACTATCTATCTATCTATCTATCTCTATCTATCTATCATCACTATCTATCTTCTATCTATCTATCTATCTATCTATCTATCTATCTATCTATCTATCTATCTATCTATCTATCTATCTATCTATCTATCTATCTATCTATCTATCTATCTATTCTATCTATCTATCTATCTATCTATCTATCTATCTATCTATCTATCTATCTATCTATCTATCTATCTATCTATCTATCTATCTATCTATCTATCTCTATCTATCTATCTATCTATCTATCTATCTCTATCTATCTATCTATCTATCTATCTATCTATCTATCTATCTATCTATCTACTATCTATCTATCTATCTATCTATCTATCTATCTATCTATCTATCTATCTATCTATCTATCTATCTATCTATCTATCTATCTATCTATCTATCTATCTATCTATCTATCTATCTATCTATCTATCTATCTATCTATCTATCTATCTATCTATCTATCTAATCTCTATCTATCTATCCTATCTATCTATCTATCTACTATCTATCTATCTATCTATCTATCTATCTACTATCTATCTATCTATCTATCTATCTATCTATCTATCTATCTATCTATCTATCTATCTATCTATCTATCTATCTATCTCTATCTATCTATCTATCTATCTATCTATCTATCTATCTATCTATCTATCTATCTATCTATCTATCTATCTATCTATCTATCTATCTATCTACTATCTATCTATCTATCTATCTATCTATCTATCTATCTATCTATCTATCTATCTACTATCTGCTATCTATCTATCTATCTATCTATCTATCTATCTATCTATCTATCTATCTATCTATCTATCTATCTATCTATCTAGCTATCTATCTATCTATCTATCTACTATCTATCTATCTATCTATCTATCTATCTATCTATCTATCTATCTATCTATCTATCTATCTATCTATCTATCTATCTATCTATGCTATCATCTATCCACCTGTGGGTTCAACCAATCTTATTTTTGTTTATAAATTCTGAGTATCGCCCACGGGACTTTTTTGTACCAAATCAAATTCCTATTATAAAAAATATAATATTATTGCGAAAAATTCAAAACAATTACCTAATTTTGTCAATTGATTGCTCTTGTCAACAAAAAAAAAAAAACCTGCATGTGCGGCCAAACATAACAGGGTTCAAGGGTGAAATCTTATCAGCAAATAGGTACGTTAAGCAAAATGTGCTAAAATTTTATTACACAATCACTAATTATAAAAAAAAAAACATAAATATACTCTGCCCCACTGTAGGGGAAAACAAAGTAATGAACAAATTGCAGCAAAGCATCCACAGTTTTTCTTTGACAGACGACTTTTCAGTTGGCCTAAATTTTGTTTTCGCTTATTTTATATTTATTTCTTGATATTTTTTAAAAATAAACTGTAAGTTAATTTTACGTTGTTGTTTATCATTTAACATTACTTTTATTTAATAAATTAAATGCATTAAGTATGAAAGACAAAAATTAAAAAGATATTGGCCTTACAAACTTTTCCACTGCAGATAAACGAACAGACACACCCTCTTTTTGTTACACTTTATCTGCTTAAGTGGTTTAATAATAAGCAGCAGCATAAAAACAGAAAAAACAACAACAACAACAACATTAGTGAAAAAAGTCATAACAATAATAGCAATAACAAAAAAAGAAGAGAACCCCATAAATATTAATAGAACAACAATAACTTATCGACCTCTTCAATGAACTTGACCTTTTACACTTAAGCTTTGTTTATTGGGTGAAACAGGGAGACTTACAAATGGAATTTTCTTTGTCTCTTTTACTGGCTTTTAAGCAGTTTGTTAAGTGGTCAACAACAACAACAATTATAAATAATAAGCATAGAAATGCATTTTAAACGAAATATGGGAGATTTGCCGTTAGTTAAATATGTTTGTACCTATTTGTTGTTATTGTAAAATGTTTGTTTTGCATCAGGCATGGAAAATTCAGTGCTATTGTACTTTTTTGTGCTTTTTGACGAGAGAAAAATAACGCAGTTTCAATCAGTGCGTAGACTTATGCTGTTTACTAACTATCTAGTGTTTTGACTAGACTGATCAAAAGACTAGCCAATAGACTAGTCCATAGTCTGAAAAAAGTCAAAAGACTGGTCCATTGACGAGTCAAAAGACCATAGATTAGAAAAAAAGACTAGACAAAATTCCAGACAATAGACTAGTCCATAGATTAGACAATTGACAAGTCCATATACTAGTCAATATACTAGTCCATAGAGTATTCAATAGACATGTCAAAAGACAAGTCAACAGACTAGCCCATAGACTAAACCATAGGGTAGTAAATAGACTAGTCTATAGACTATTCCATACAGTGTCAATAGAAGATACGATATATTAGTCAATAGACTCGTCCATCTAATAGTCAGCAGTAGTCAGAGACTATTCCATAGACTAGTCAAGAATAGTCTAAAGACTAGTTCATAGACTGTCAATATACAAGACTTCGACTAGTCCATAGGCTAGTCAATAGACTATTCAGTTGACTATTCCATAGAATAATCCATACAGTAATCCATAGACTAGTCAATGGACTACTTCCTGGATTAGTCCATAGTCAATTAACAAAGTAGTCAGCAGTCGACTACATAGTCTAGACAATAGACCTATCCATATATTAGTCAATAGACTAATCCACAGACTTGTCACACAATAGTCTACTCCACACACTAGTCATTAGTCCATAGACTAGTCATTATACCACTGCACATAATAGTCTACAAACTGTCAATAGACAAGACCATAGACTAGTTATTAGGCTAATAAATAGACTTGTCAGTTGTCTAGTCAATATATGTACATGTCAACAGATTAGAGCATATTAATCAACAATTGGTACTTTTAACCCTAAAAAAGTACGCTTTGGGTAAAATAAATTTCCATTTTCCATGCCTGTTATACATATGAGTAATTGAGTTTAGTAGACTTGAAGAGAAAGTGATGTAAAGGAATTTATTCAAAAATTAAGATTAATATATACAGAAGAATAAAATTTGAAAACTTTCGTAAAGAATTTAAAAAGTACTATTATAGAAGAATAAAAAAGTACTAAATGTATTACGAAATAGTACCAAAGAGTACTAAGAAGCTACGTCCAGCAAGCAGAGTCTCTAAACATCGAACAATATCTTTATAGAATCATATACAAGGATTTTTACATCCTTTACAGGCCCTATAGCGTCCTTAGGTAGAGAGTTTGAACCTAACCTGAAGTTATTACAAAAAAAAAGATTTATTTCATTAACGATTACACTCTTTTAATTACCCTGCCTTATAACACTTTGCCGCAAGTGTGTATATTGTTTCTGCTACAGTTCTGATATGGCTGAATGATTAAATGATTTGTTATTTTTTTATTTTTGTATTTTTTTTTTATAATTGTATTGCTCCACTGATCCAATGGCTATTAAATTCCATAATTTATACTAAAAATAAAAAAAACACTACAAACACGACGTAGTAAAATAAATTCTAAATAAAATATGATCAAATAAATTACAATAAGAAGAAAATATATAAAAAGCAACAACAAACAACATCATCATTGTATATTTAATTAAAAGTAAACAAATAAATTCCTTATTAAGGTTTATGGCATAGATTAATTAAGGAATTAAGTGAAAACAACAACAACAACAATATTACAGCTCAATTAACAAAATGGCATCTTAATAAATGTTCACTTCAATTGCAGTTGATTTGCATAAGATATCATTCTATGTTGAATGACGCACACGAAAAGAAGAAGTTTTCCCTGTTTTCCTTTTATAACATAAATGTGGCTAATTTAGCTTAAAACTAAAACTGACTAGTCTAAATGACAAAAAAGCTGTAAAATGTTTTGCTAACTAAAACTATGATTGGCCATGACACATCCAAGCCAAGCTAATACAGCCAAATTTTATTATGATTTTTGGGTAGAAGCTACAAATTTATTTTGGGAGAAAAATAAAAAAGAAAATGTTTAGCAATCATTTCAAACTTTTATAGTTTTTCTACTATTTATATATAAAAAAAGAAGAAAAAAAGTTTTACACTTGGTCATTCGATACCTCGTAGATGGTATTCATTATTCTCACCCTCTCCACCAGACTTTCGGCACGTCGTGCAAAGGAGGCACGTCTGGCTTCAGCTGCTGCAGACATTTTTTTCTTAAAGTATTGTTGTTTTAAATTGAGATTTTGATTCTATAAAATAAAACAAAAAACTGTAAAGAAAAAAAGAGGGGAAAAAGAGAAATTATTAGAAATCTATAAAATTTTTAAGAAATATAAAGAAAAATGTTATAAAAATATGTTGTTCTAGTAAAATGTGGCAACATTTTATTAAATTTTAAATTAAATTATTTTTTATAGAAAACTTAAATAAATTTAATGTTAATTTTTTTTTAATATACATTTCTTCAACCAACATTCTAAAACTATTACTACTAACAGTCATCGGTCTAGTCCAAACCACAATTTCTATTTATCAATTCATTCAGTTATAAAGATAGAGATTTAAGTTATCGAAAGTTGTTTAGTTTCATACATTTTATATGAAAATAAAAGCCAATAAATCTTCTGTATGGAAATTTATGTTAAAAACAATAATTTTGTTAAAAAACAACTTTAAATTTTCGATATAATATCGTCAGTAATCGAACATTTTCTGTAATTTTAATTTATCGAAAGAATTGGTCCAGAGAATTCAAGTTTTTGATAAAAATGTTGATAAATTTTAAGTTATCGGTAAAATTTTAAAAGAAAACTAAAGTTATCGTTAATATTTTTACACAAAAAAATTAAATTTTTCGATACAATTTCGATTAATTTTCTGTAATAATTTAAGTTATCGATAATTCCTTCACAAAAATTCAAGTTATCGATAAATTTTCCCAAAAATTCTAAAGTTATCGATAAATTTCCTAAAAAACTTCTAGTTATTGGAAAAATATCTAAAGAAAACGAAAGTTATCGAGATAAAAACAGAAAATTCCAGTTCTAATTTTATTTCAATACAAGTTATCGATAAATTTTCCCAAGAAAAAAATTTTTAAAGAAAACTAAAATTATTGATAATTTTTTAGAGAAAATAAAGTTATTGATCTATTTTATAAAGAGATCAGAAGTTATCGATAAATTTTCTTTGAAAAATTTAATTATCCACATTAAAATCAAGTTATAGATACAATTTTTAAAAGAAATAAGTTATCGGAAATTTTTTCAAAGTTATCGATAAAGTTTCTCAAGAATTTTGAAAAAAATTAAGTTATCCATAAATTTACTCAAAAAATGTTAGTTATCGATAAATTTGCTACAAAAATTGAAAGTTATCAATAAATTTTCTATAAAAAGTAAAGTTATCGATAAATTTGCCAAGATTTCTGAAGATAACGGTAAATTTTCTACAAAAAATCAAGTTATCGATAACATTTATAAAGAAAAATAAAGTTATAGAGAATTTTGTTTTTATAAAAATACAAGTTATCGATAACTTTTCTCCAGAAAATAAAAAGTTTTCGAAAAATTTCCTAGAAAAAAGAAATTATCGATAAGGTTGCTATAGAAAATTAAAGTTATCGATAAATTTTATACAAAAAGTCATAATATCGAAAAAAAATTCTAAAGATAACTCAAGTGATCGATCAATTCTTTACAAGTTATCAGCATTTCTTAAACTAACGGATCGAAATATTTTTTACAAATCGATATATTTTATGTAAAAATTACAAGTTATGGAAAAATTTTTTAGAAGAAATTCTAGTTATCGAAAATTCTCCAAAAAGTTATCAAAACATTTTCTCTCGATAATTATCGTTAAATATCCTGCAATAAACAAATTATTAATAAGATTTCTGTAGAAAGTTAAAGTTATCGATAATTTTTCTCAAAAAAATGTAAGTTATCGTTAAAGTTTGTACAAAAATTCGAATTAATGCAAAAGTTTCTTTATAAAATTTGATTTAACGTTAAATTTTTGGCAAGTCACCGCTAATTTTTCTTAAAATTCTCTCAAAAAATTTATGTTATCGACAACATTTCCTATAATAAATTTTAATAATCGAAAATATGTCTGTATAAAATTAAAGTAATCGATAAATTTTCCTTAAAAAAGCATGTTATCAAAACCTGTTTGGCTAAAATTCAAGATATCGAAAAAATTTCTTTAGAAAATTAAAGTTTTTGGCACACTTTTACCAGAAAATTAAAGTTATCGATAAATATTATTTAAAAAATGCATGTTATCGATATTTATTAATATGAAATTTAAGTTATCGTTAAATTTTTTCTAGAAAACTAAAGTTATCGATGAAGTTCCTTTAGAAAATTAAAGTTATCGATGAATATTACGTAAAATTCAAGTTATCGATAAATTTTTTTCTAGAAAATTAGTAATTGATAAATTTTCTTTATAAAATTAAAGTTATCGTTGAGTATTATTTAAAAATTATATGTATTGATAACATTTTTATATAAAATTCTATTTATCGATAAATTTTTTGTAGAAAATTAACGTTATCGATTAATTTTCTTTAGAAGAGTAACGTTATCGATACATATTATTTAAATATGTATGTTATCGATACATTTTAATATGAAATTTAAGTTATCGTGAAATTTTTTCGATGAATTTTCTTTAGAAAATAAAAGTTATCGAAGAATGTTATTTAAAAAATATATATTATCGATAAATTTTTACATAAAATTAGATATAGATAAATTTTTTCCAGAAAATTCAAATTATCGATAAATTTTCTTTATAAACTTAAAGTTATCGAAAATTTTATCGATAAATTTTTACATACATTTTAAGTAATCGATAAGATCTTTTATAAAAATAAAGTTATCGATGAATTTTCTTTAGAAAATTTAAGTTATCGAAGTTTTTTTGAAAATTGAAGCTATCGATGAGTATTATTTAAAAATTTTATTTTATCGATATATTTTTATATAAATTCTTTGGAAAACAAAAGTTATCGATGAATATTAATTAAAAAATGTTATCGATATATTTTTACATAAAGTAATTTACAATAAAGTATCGATGAGTATTATTTAAAATGTTATGTTATCGATATATTTTTATATAAAAATTTAATTTATCGATATTTTTTCTAGAAAATTAACGTTATCGATGAATTTTCTTTAGAAAATAAAAGTTATCGGTGAATATTAATTTAAAAAATATATGTTATCGATATATTTTTACATAAAATTAGATATCGATAAATTCAAGTTATCGAAAATTTTCTCGATACATATTTACGTAAAATTCAATTTATCGATAACATTTATAGAAAAATAAAGTTATCGATAAATTTTCTTTAGAAAATTAATGTTATCGAATAATTTCTTAGAAAATTTAAGCTATCGATGAGTATTATTTAAAAATTTTATGTCATTTTTATATAAAATTCAATTTACCGATTAATTTTTTCTAGAAAATTATTGTTATCGATGAATGTTGTTTAGAAAATCTGTGTTATCGATACATTTTTACATGCAATTCAAATTATCGATAATGTTTTTCTAGAAAATTAGCGTTATCGATTAATTTTCTTTAGAAAATTAATGCTATCGATGAATATTATTTAAAAATTGTTTATTATCGATACATTTTTACAAAAAATTTAAGATATCGATAAATTTTTTCTAGAAAATTGAAGTTATCGATGAATTTTTATTTACAAAATGAAAGTTATCGATGAATATTGTTTAAAAAATGTATGTTATCGATACATTTTGAAATAAAATTCAAGTTATCGATAAATTTTTCTAGAAAAATAAAGTTAACGATGATTTTTTCTTTAGAAAATAAAAGTTATCGATAAATTTTCTTAAGAAAATTTAAGTTATCGATAATATTATTAAAAAAAAAATTATGTAATTGATATATTATTAAATAAAATTAAAGTTTTCGATCAATTTTTTGTAAAAAATAAGTTATCGAAAAGTATTATTTAGAATATTTAAGTTATCGATGATTTTTTTTTTTGAAAATGTATGTAATCGATAAATTTTTATATAAAACTCATGTATTTGTTAAATTTCTTCATAAAAATTTTCAGTTATCGATAACATTTTCGTTTACTTTTAATATTTATCATAAATTTCAAAATTTCGCTGCAAACTTTTATTAAAACTTAAGTTGTTTATCAAACTTGCAATTGCGCTTTAATAATTAATTCATTTCTTTATGACATCTTAAATTTTTTTAAAATTTAATTTCGTTGTTGTTTTTTTTTTTTTTCGATAAAAAATAAAACACAAATAAAGTAACGAAATGATTTTTGTTATTAGTCCAGAGTTTTTTCATACGTCACTAAGTTGATTTTATGAGATAATTTGTTAAATGTATTTGATCTAAAATTTATATTTATAACAACAACAAAAGTCATATGCATATTGAATAATAATTTAATAAAATTTAACAAAGTTAAACAGTTTTTCTACAAAAAGTAAAATATTCAACGCAATATTTTTAATTAAAAAATTGTGAAAAATTTTTAAATTTTGAAGGAAAAGAATTACACGGAGAAAAAAATATAAAGAGAACTGAACTTTTTAAAAACTTTCCATATAATTTCTTATACCTTAAAATTATTAAATAATTTTGCCAACTAGTTTATTTTATCCTCCACCAAATTAAGACGTCAGCAGTCTGAGGAATACGTCCATTAGTGTGCATTGAAATAACGGTTGAATAGATAAATTTTTAATATTTAATAATATGGAACTTGATTTTTAATCTACCAAAAAAAAGCATACAGATGTTTAACAAATTGTATACATTAAATATTGAGTATTTTTTTGTTTTTTTTTTTTTATTATATTTTTGTTTTCAAAACAAAAACACTAATAGTTCTGGTTCCATAAAACTAGAACAAGGCAACAGAAAAACGTAATAAATGAAACAAATTAAAATTGAAATTAAGTATAATAAATACATAAATAAAAAAATATGCAAATGAATAAAACAACAATAAAATACAATAATAAAAAATAGCATAATTTACACTTGAATTAAACAACTGGAAATTAGCAAAATAAAAGTAAAACAAAAATATAATTCTAATAAAAATATAATAAATTTATAGACATTTTTTTAATAATAAATTTTTCCATTTAAAGAAAAACTTTCCATATAATTTTTTATGTTTTTTTTTTTTTGCTCCCCTGCTTCGTAGAGACCCTTTATAAACAACAAAACCCCCACAAAACTTTA